CACAGTGTGGTTTGGCAGCAGCTCGATGTCTGACTGGAAGGTGTCAAAGGGGTGATCAGTTTGGCCCAGTCCATCACTGGAGCACAGCTCCCCTCTATCCCAGACATTAGTCTCACTATTCTCTCCCCTGCCCTCTGGTAAGTGTTATACTGTAGGAGCATAAAGACACGGATCTCCAGACTCAGAGACAGCTTCTTCCCTCAGGATATCAGCTTGTCTAATTCTACAGTGACTCTACAACTGCACACTGGTTGCTGCTGCCTTTTATCTGTGTGTTATTCAGCTTCGTTGTTGCTGCTGCTGTTGTTGTGTGTTGAAGTTGGTGTTTCCTCAATGTCTTTGTATTGGAGCCTACATGCAAATAAGCATCTCATTGCGCGTGCGCCTGTGGCAGATAAACTAGACTGAAACTGCTCTGAGATTGTGTCTAATTAGATTGCTGATTGAATACTCAATAGAGATGTATATCACTCTGAACCACAGCAGAGCTTCAGTTCCAGCTCAGGATCTAAGGAGCAGGAGGAGTGAGAATAATACTCACTGGCTCTCACTGAGGACAGCAGCCCCAGACACAGCAGGAGGAGAAACACATCCATCTGTTAGAGAAAACCAGAGAGATGAGCAGAGAGACTCTGTATCGCTGAGCACACCTGTGTCTTTAACACACAGCTGGTCACTGAACACAGACGAGCCCCAGTCCAATCAGGGCAATACAGCAACCTACACAGCCACACACAACACTGAGACTTTCTGTCAGGTACCGTAGTGAGATCTACTTATTTTGTGGTGAAAGCGCAGTAAAGACCAGTGAGATTGTGGTAAAAGTACAGTACAGTGCAGTAAAGCCCAGTGAGTTTGTGTTAAAAACACAGTACAGTGCAGTAAAGCCCAGTGAGATCAGAGTAAAAACACAAGGCAGTGCAGGAAAGCCCAGTGAGATCAGGGTAAAAACACAGTCCAGTGCAGTAAAACCCAGTGAGATTGTGGTAAAAACACAGTACAGTGCAGGAAAGCCCAATGAGATTGTGGTAAAAACACAATACAGTGCAGTAAAGCCCAGTGAGATCTGGGTAAAAACATAGTACAGAGCAGTAAAGCCAAGTGAGATTGTGGTAAAAACACAGTCCAGTACAGTAAAGCCCAGTGAGATTGTGGTAAAAACACAGTACAGTGCAGTAAAGCCCAGTGAGATTGTGGTAGATGAGACAGCAGATGAAAGGAGACATACTTACTCTGGGGGTCACTATGGTGTCAATGTGCCCACTCACTCAGCGCTCAGTGTGAGTCCGTCTGTGGGCTGTGCTGCTCTTAAACCCTGCAGACAGCCAATCACACACAGAGGGTGTCAGACCTCAGAGGGATGAAGAGGAAAGAGAGATGAACGAGCCGTGGTTTCGTGTGCCAGGCTGAAAGTCTGTAGAATCGCTTCGAACGAGAGGAGCTGTTCAGCCCCTCTCGCCCGCCTGATAGTGAGTAACTAATCTGAAAGTGCCGCCCAGCTTCAGTAGCATGGCCAGGCAGCTTGTTCCACACTCCCACCACCTTTCGCCTAAAGAAGATCCTCCTGTCCCGAGGTGAGTCAGGGATCGGTCTCCTGTCTTCTCTGATTCCATCTTCGCAGCTGTGTGTCGTTCTCATCTTGATGAGCTGCTGCACTGGTGCTTGTGTGATTCGACCCTGATAAGTGCTCCCAGACTTTCCAGATAACTCAGGCGCACCTGATGGCTCTGCAGATTCCCCGGATCTGATTTCCAATCACCCAGGAGGGGAGACAGCAGGACGAAGCTGGAACTGAACAGACGAAAGAGCAGCTAGACCACAGGCACTGAGCAGGGGTGAGCATGGGCCCCTTGTAGCGCTGAGGTCCTGGGGTTCAGCTCCTGGGGTTCTGTGTGTGTTGAGTTTGCATGTTCTCCCCATGTTCATATGGGTTTCCTCCCACAGTCCAAAGACACACTGGTAGGATATTGGCCCTGGTGTCAGGGTGTGTGTGTGCCTTGTGATGGACTGGCGTCCTGTCCGGAGTGTACCCTGCCCTGTGCCCGTTGCTTGCTGGGATAGACACCTTACTACAGGCAGCTCCCCCTCGTCCCCAGGGTCACATGAAACAGCCCCCTCTCCTGTGTGGACAGCAGGGCGGCGCCGTGACTCTCTAACAGAGTCGGCCCTGCCTCGTCTCGGAGAGGAGGATTCAGCTCTCAGGTTAGGGAAGGAAACAGACCAGCGATCGATCTCGCCCCTGCAGGCGGCGATCGGAGAAACCAGAGAGAGAGCAAAGCTCTTACCTGCGTACTGATGTTTCTATGGAAACCCACAGGGGTTGTCATCAGATAAACCCCAGAGAAGACAGAACCGCAGGCCTCCTGACATCACACTCCCAGCCAGCCCCAGCCAGAGCTCGCCACGCCCCGCACAGCTGCATCACCGATCTCCCCCAGTCCTGCAGAAAATGACCCCTCAGGTCACCCTCCCCAGCTGTACAACGAGGACAAAGTCCTGTTTTAGAGTATAGTGCACTGTTGTGGTCAGCATGTTACAAAACAAAAGATGCTGCTACACTGGAATCATTGCAGAGAGGTATACCACACTGACAGACTGAAGGAACTGAGTCTCTTTAATCTGAAGGGAGTTTCCCAGACTGACAGGCTGAAGGAACTGAGTCTCTTTAATCTGAA